CAAAGTAGATATGTTTTTGTAGAAGTTTTTAGAGAACTATTAGAGATATTTGTCTAACAGCTGCCTATGATAAATCGAATTCAACATTTTTCATACATAATGGAGAAGTGTTGTTTTAAATAACATTATGTCATATACTTCACACTTTACTTTAGCAGTAAAGGCAGGCGATAACTAATGATCGAAACAATTACGAAACAAATTGTGAATATTGGCCATGCAATACACACTATACACGCTGTGATAAAGTATGGAATTGTTATAATGGTATTGATAAATTGAATTGTTCGTATGTGACATATCCATACAAATGTAAAGATAATAAACATTATTGTGTCCGAATTGATAATATTACACACGACACGAACCTTTATCAACAAATTTCTTATGGCTGTTTACCACTGAAACTTGCGGGTAACGATCAAATCAATTGTCTAGGATCGACAGATGAACGAGATTATTGTCGCTTGAATTATCCAAATGAATCAAACCGAAGATATCGCTGCTTAAACGATACAACATGTATTGATATCAATCGTCTATGCGATTGTATGAGTGATTGTCCATTAAGAGATGACGAAGGCATTTGTCCTTGGTTGGATGATGGAACTTGGATGTTTTTCTCCGGACATGTTTGAGTGCGCGGACGGTTCCAGAGATATGAGATCAGAACTATGTACACCAACAAGTGATTGTAATTCAAAAGAAACAGCGCTGATTTGTGATTTGAGTGAATGAAACAAACCAGAACGAAAATATTTTTCGGTTCGAAATTATTTTGTTCAATATCCTAATGTTTTAACACGAAGTAGTCTAAATTCATCATCGTTATCAAAAATATTCTTAAACAAACAAATTGAAAATGAAAATAGTATGTTCTTACACTGGCATTGTAATTATGGTGTATTAGTTTACTCATTTGGTGAAAATTTTTACTGTTTTTGTTCGCCAGCTTATTATGGTGATCGTTGCCAATATCAAAATGATTTCATCGGTTTAATTTTGACTGTTCGACGAAAATCAATACGTGATCATTTATTTTTATTTCGTATAATGATTATTTTGCTTGATCAGAACATGACTTCAATATATCGAGAACAAATTTTGTATGTATCTGATTGTGAAAAACGATATCAAATCTATTTACTTTATCGAAATCGATTGAAACTGAACTATCAAAATTATTCAGTTCGCCTTGATATTTATTCAATTCATCGTTTTGATAATACAATTCATTTTCGAACAAGTTTCTATTATACAATCCCATTTACATTTTTACCTGTAAATCGACTTCTTATAAGTTTAAATATATCAGACGAACAACCTCAGATGACATTTGGTGATAAATTTTCATGTCAAAATGGAAAATATTATCAGTATGAGAATCTAAACAAGACTTACTGTCGATGCAATACCGGTTGGTTTGGCAAATTCTGTCATCTTCGCCATGAATGTAATTGTTCTCCTCAGTCAATATGTGCTGAATTGAGTTGTGTATGTCCGTTAGGAAAATTTGGGCCATTATGTTATTTTCCTGAAAAACTAACGTGTAAAAATATCGTCTGTCAACATGGTGGAACTTGTATACCTCGTGATCAACGAATATTGGAAAAAGATTCACAATGTGTTTGTACAGAAGAATTTGAAGGTCAATTTTGTGAAAAACGTCGCATGCGTATTATCGTTAGTTTTGATAATGTACCGATTCCATCATCTTTACTTGTTCACTACTTCATTTCACGTGAATCTCGAAATCCAGATCGTTTAACATCATTTAAACGAATTTCTTTATATGAAAATATGGTTATTTTATATCCGCCAATGTTTTACAATCTGGCTTTTGCGCAATTTGAAAATAATTATTATCTCATCTTTCTAAATTCAATTTCTACACGACAAGATGTTAAGACAACAATTATTGGTTCCAATAAGTGTCCAAACATTGAAGATATATTCGATCATCAAATTTTTCAGTTTCATCCATTAAAACGCATAAAATATTATCAATTAATCTGTCAACAAAATCATCGTCTAAAATGTTTCTTTGATGAAACACAACTATGTCTATGTACTAAAGATAATTTAGCAGATTGTTTTGATTTCAATCACAATGGAATAAGTTTATGTGATGAAAATAATGTTTGTCAAAATAATGGAAAATGTTATGTCAACGATTTAAAATGTCCAACAAAGTCTCTTTGTGTATGTCAACAATGTTATCACGGTACATTATGCCAATTTACTACATCTGGCTCTGTTCTATCATTAGATTCTATTATTGGTTATCACATACAATCATATGTACAATTTAGTAAACAATATTTCATTATTAAATTAAGTACTGGAATTACCATAGTAATGGCTACAACTGGTATTCTGAGTAACGTTTTTGCAATCATGACATTTTCACGAGAAAGAGTACTTGAGCTGGGCTGTGGTTTTTATTTACTATCGTCCTCGATTGCATCGCTTTCAACCATGATTATTTTTGTCTATAAATTGTTGAGTTTGTTTGTCACACAAATGGAATTGATAACCAATGATAGTTATTTAAATGTAAACTGTAAAATGACGAATTTTCTATTAAAATTTTTACCGACAACAGTCGAATGGTTAAATGCATGCGTCGCAAGTGAACGAGCGCTGAGCATTCTACTAGGTATTCATTTTAATAAAATAAAAAGCAAATTTTGGTCGAAATTTACAATCGGTATTGTTATCTTAATCAATATCACTAGTGCTTTACATGATCCATTAAATCGACGATTACTTAAAGATACTGAGGAGCAACGTATATGGTGTATTGCAGATTATTCATATTCTTCTTGGTTGAACGTTTACAATGCAGCTGTGAATATAATTCATTTTATTGTTCCATTTGTCATTAATTGCTTATCGGCTTGTATTATTATTACGGTAACAGCACGTAATCGATCTGTTATTCGTACGAATCAAACATATCGAGAACATTTAACAGAACAGTTTCAACGACATAAACATTTACTTATTAGCTCATCTGTTCTTGTTATTTTGGGTATATCAAGACTCATCATTTCCTACTTTTCAGGTTGCATGAAATCAGCTCGTAATCCATGGTTGTTCTTAGCAGCCTATTTTATTTCGTTTGTGCCACCAATGTTAACATTTCCTATTTTCATAATACCATCGAAATCATACCGAACTGAATTTTACGCCTCAATCAAATATCGTCATACAACAAGTTGACATATTTTTTTTCATTTCTTGCATAAAGATACGTATACTAATTCCATTTTACCATAACAATAAAATAATCTTACTCGGATAAGTTTGTTTTTGTTAGAAAACTCAAATCGATGTTGATTACTAAATAAACAAGTAACGCGCCGTGAGTGTCACTAACCCTCTATTGAAATGGCATGACTATCCTAAGCAGACATATGATATGTGGCGTTTTGTTTCAACTCTGCTAGTTTACATGCTTTTATTTAGTGAAATTAGTGTGAACATATCAATAATTAATTAAAGTATTGATCGTTATAGAAGTTATCCACTGACTAGTCTTTTTGTAATAATTTATTTAAGTTGTTTCACCGATATTTTGGTTACAGTAAATAGACAAGTAGCGCTCATCCGATGGATTCGCTGACCATTTTCTGAAAGAAAATTCCGTATGATTATCATTGAAAATAATTCATTTTGATTATATTATATTTCATAGTCTTGTTGAGCGCATGAAAGCTTGGAAGAAAATATCCACTCTTTAGCAATGATCGTTTTATAGGAATATTCCTATTTGTGATTCATATATAAATGATAATCGCCATTTTAACTCAGTTCTTCATGGAATAAACCTTATTTATTATATCCATGTTAAAGGCTACCACTATACAGAAATTTATACACGAATATTTCGAAATATTATTCTCTGACTACTATGTCAAACAATATTTCTTTCTAGTATGGAATGTGATTTCTTATAGTTAAGCATATAAACTACCTTAGTCGGTCCCAATGTCGCGATACGTGTATAGTTAGTGTATCATTTAATGTCATTACTCATTCGTTTCATAGAAGTAGCTTTATGAGATCGTGAAGATGAGTAACGCATCGATCATTAGTTATCGCCTGCCTTTACTGCTAAAGTAAAGTGTGAAGTATATGCAAGGGGGGAAAAGCATACTTCTGTACTTCTCGGTACTTCTCCGTACTTCTTGATACTTCTTCGTACTTCTTCGTACTTTTTTGTACTTCTCCACGGAGAAGTACAAAAAAGTACGAAGAAGTATCAAGAAGTACGGAGAAGTACCGAGAAGTACAGAAGTATGCTTTTTCCCCCTTGAGTATATGACATCATGTTATTTAAAACAACACTTCTCCATTATGTATGAAAAATGTTGAATTCGATTTATCATAGGCAGCTGTTAGACAAATATCTCTAATAGTTCTCTAAAAACTTCTACAAAAACATATCTACTTTGAATATATTGAAGGATCTTCTTGTCGATCAACCTCACTGATCCAAAGCAACATTGCCAACTGATCATTCTTGTGGTCATGTGTGCCTGTAAAATATTATGATGCACTACTAAGATCATCGCTTTATATTTTGATTAGCATGCAACATCAACGTTGAAAGCAAATTCCCATTTTTCTTAACAAACTGACTTGAGAGAATGTGTACAATTAGGAAAAAACTAGTCCATGTGGAGAAAAATGCAGGTTCTTGACTTATTGATTTGAGTTAGACAGTTAATTGAGTTAGAATTGGATTGTAAAAAGAGTTTCACGGTGCTTTGGTTACAGTAAATAGACAAGTAGCGCTCATCCGATGGATTCGCTGACCATTTTCTGAAAGAAAATTCCATATGATTATCATTGAAAATAATTCATTTTGATTAGACTTCTCAGGTAAGTAAATACTGTCCAATCTTTACAGTTCCGGGAGGAGAAGCGCTGAGAAGTCCCAGCCGCCACTGTTTCTACTATAAACGCTATAATAAGTTGTTCTATATATCATGCAAATGACTTGATCATATATCTTGATTGCAGCGGTATATGAGTCGTCACTCTTGGAAGCATCTATATAGTGGACGGAAGTGTATCTATGGACAAACATCATTGTATTCATTGTAACCACTCACATTATGAATTGATATTCTACAGCGGACCATATCCATGCAAAAGGTACTTTATTACATCATGTATTCAAAACTATGGCACATATTTTTATTAAAAACGGGGAAAAGAAAACTAATTACGAATATAAAACTTAAACGGTAAGCATTGTGTACTAAATGAATCATTTATCATTTTCATCTATCGCTGATATTTGACTGGCTGATTTGTAAGCTGAGCCCTAAATGACAATGAACATTTAGGGCTTCTTTTCTAAATTGTATAACTTTGCAAAGAAAGGTCGTATAGAGCTGGGAGATGTTTCATTTTGATCCTGATTTCGCGGCTTACAATCATGACTTATTTAGAAAACTTTGGGACATTTTTTCAGTTTTCTGGAGACCTAGCAGCCTGTCTCATATAGAGGCCTGCACGGGTTAAGAAAACCTAACCCGAACCCGACCCGACTGCCAAAATGCCGACCCGCACCCGATCCGATCCGACAACAACTTAACCCGAACCCGATCCGACCCGATAACATCTGAACCCGAACCCGACCCGACTCGATGAAAACAATCTCACCAGAAAACTGTGTTTGAAAAAGAATATAGACTTGTCTTATTAGACAAAAGTTTTTCGGTGCATATTATAGAATCTCCTAGTTCAAAAAAAGATTTTTGAACGACTTCTGATTGGTCATTTTGTCTAAAAGGTTAATCTATTGAAAATTCCTCGGTGCACTCTGTCAATAGATTATCTTAACCGAGATGATAACCACATTCTTTTTCTCATTGGTCAGTCAGTATCACCTAATACTAAGATAGCAAGTAGAGAGCATTATAGTAAAGTCTTC